AGGGTTTACTAAAATTGCTATTATATTATTGTATGACACGGATAATCTACACATACATTTATACATGAGATTCCTGAGCGCAGCTGCACATGTGGGAACAGCATTATGTGCAAACATGTGGCTAGCACTGCTCCATCTAGGCACTTTAAGTAGGAGCCTCAGGCCATCATTGTATGCCACATAAAGTTTGTGCAGGCTACTTTTTTTGTATCTTCGCCATAGATGGGCTGTGTAAAATGAAGTGCAAAAAACTTTAAAAAGAGCTACCTTCACAGAGGATGAACACATACCAAACTTTCTGATCAGAATATTAGCCTGTGCATACATCATGCAATACTGCCTACAAATGTCACGATCATCAGATAGGTCATCAGTTATGTAATGTCCCAAATATAGTCTGACTGGTTAGTGCTCCGTTTATGCAGCTCTCCCTTATGAGATATTAAAAGTTATAATTTTGGCCGATGATGTCACCAGCCGCCCCCATTTTGCTCCAAACATAAAAAATTTTGCTTTACCGATGTTATGTTGCCTCCACCAACTGGTATGTAATGTGGACCACGTCACCCAAGGATTATATTATACAAATGACTAAATCTGATTTTACTTTATTTGGTGCTTTCAGAGTTTAAGATTCAGCCGATCACATTCACCCAATTAGGGTGAATCTTACTCTAACTGTATTGATTATGCCACAACTTATACTGTAGTCTCTTTTCTATAAAAATATAGCAACATCAATTGCATAAAAACGACACCGAAAACAAGACCTACGTGAGAGGAATGTGTTGGAAGACAACCAACTAAGAACTAAAACAGGAAGTACAGCCTGCAGCAGGTGAAATTAATCGTCCCCTAATAAGGGTCTTTAAGACTATAAGTCTTTATTTTCAATTATTCAGAAAGAAAAATGAAAACATCAAGTAAAATTCAGATCAACTTCTGATAATGACATGATTTAAAAATAGAAAAACCAAAATACAGATGGATGAAACAAAACGATCCACATGATGAAGATGAAAATGTTTAAGTAAGAAGTTTCGGTAATTAATCTAGTTAAAGTGATTTAGTTTGGTCCTAATTTAAATAATCAGATTACAGCCAGTCTCCCAGTCGGTTTTATCGCTGAGGCAGTTCAGATTCTCCCCTGCAGGGCGGCAGTAGTGAGTCTCATGCTGAAGGACATCATCCTGGTCCACAGACAGGACGATGTCCTTGGTGTCCATTTTTTCACGCTATAATCCTTCACTCCACTGATGACTTACAGATTTTCCTGGGAAAACTAATTTCAGCTTTTATTGTGATTTTTAGTGTGATGAGCTGATAACCAGTGGCCGTCCCTAAGCTTTTTAAAACTGAATGAAAATAAACCAACATTGTCCTTTTTGGCAGCTCTGTAAGGATATCTCTAAAAACAGTAAATGTCCTTATTGCTGTTTTGTCTTTTTCCAAACCGTCTTTGTTCGTCTAACAGCCCTTTAATTTATTTCCTCTCTCTAATGTTTGGTGTCTGATTTTTTTTGTTTTCCTTTTGGTGCCTTTCAGCGTTTTGTTTTTCTGTGATAAGCTCTGCACTGGTGGAAACATGATACATAGATACATTTGACCTCGAGCAGCAGATGAGGAGGCTCGTGTTTTCAACCATTTGAGTTTGGTGGATCAACTGGTCGAGTAATGTCCAGCTCCAGAAGAAACTGATCAATGATCAATGGTCACACAGTCCAATTTGCTTTGCTACATCTGGCCACTGTGTTTGTGTTGCTCATGGTGAAGCTGATTTATTCTGTTGGTTCATTGATCAGATGATCAGATATTAAACGTTGTTTTCATTGTTCCTTCATGATTTTCTCGTCTGTCTGTCCAACCACAGCAGGAAGTCTGCACAGCCTTATATAGACACTTCCTGTTTCTAACAAACCGCCAGGCTTTGCTACGTGACGCTTTAGCAGAGAACAGCAGCAGGTGTGTGCGTCCACATACTTTATTCATGTTAGGGTTAGGTTAATATATTTGAATCATGTGCAGTTTGGATTATTTGTCATTTGCAGCTGAGCATGAAATGTAGTGGATGGCGGTATTTCCTGTGGGAAACTTCCTCACAAGGTTTTTGCAGATTGAATCTATAAGTTTACTTTTACTACTTTGTAGACATCGAGAGTTACTTTTTCCATAGATGTATTTCTTTCTTTCTTCATCTGCACAGTTACACTTTGGTTGCTGGGTTTTAGAAACAATCTAAAACCCGACGGCCTGCTGGAACCTCCAGTCCTCTGAACGATTGGCCAGACCTGCAGTCGCGTTGCTCAGAGACGAACAGGAAGTCTTCCATGCACAACAAGTCAGTGTTTATGTT